TAGTTTAAACAAACAAAGCGTAACACAATTTTGATTATTTCAGGTTAACAGCACAAACATACACCACCGCACATGATATCGAATATCTTCAAATAACCGTATCAATCGACCGTTACAATTTCGATATAAGACATCACCAGTAACTTTGGTTTCACACTAAATTTCATGGGGCTATTTCAACTAATCTATTGGTTGCAAAAACCCCATGTTTAGTTTTTGGTGAGACAAATGTAACTACGCCTATTATTTACTATAAACGAATTATCGGATTAAAAAATACAATATTATTTCTCCAAATACTATTTTTCGTTGTAGACTACCACAAACACAATCAATAACAGTCGAAAAACTGGTTGGAAATATTAATTTTCAATATAAGTACTTTGCAAAACATCCTTGACTCAGAAAATAAAAATGGCGGTTTAATAAAATGCTTTCCTGTTCACAAAGTTTCGTTCTTACTACCGACATTTTATTAATTAATAAATCATTCCTTCTTCGGATCATACATGTGGTTTTTTGTCAAATGCCATCTAAATACACTTGGTGCACTTAAATTATTTTTGTACCGACCCAGTATTTGAACCTGATACCGAATATTAAGAGGATATTACGCATACAGAAGTCAATAGAAGGAGTATAAGTGTACAAAATGTAAACTAGAACTTTCCTACAGCCTCATGCAGGTTTCTCCTTCCCTATTGCTTTTCCTAAAATAAAGTACTAAAGTACTAATAAAAGCTGAGAATGTTATTTCACAGTGTAAGTTATACTTGTTAAAAAAACCCAATGGCCTTGGTCTATGGTCTTAACTGGAAATACACCACGCCACGAATAGTTTTTAGAAGTTTCCATTAGGAAATTTCTATTAGTCTTATCTATCTATCTATCTATCTATCTATCTATCTATCTATCTATCTATCTATCTATCTATCTATCTACCAGCAGGGTGAAGACTGCTGTCCAATGGTGTCCAATGGTGGAAGTGAGATAGTGAAATAATATCGTGCCATTTCTGCGCACACTCTGCGTACAATTTCCTGTAGAGTACGATAAGGATGGCTTAAAATAGGAGTATGATGCTGCTATATTTCGTATAGTAAGAGACGCATATTGAAGACCCTTTTTACTTTTAACAAGAGATCCCGTTTAATCCTTAGGAGCGACAAGGTATTTGCATTATTATGATCAATTAAGGGTAGTTGAAGATATCATTAGGCCTCAATAATCACTTACCATCACGTGAATTGTACGCTCGTTTGACATCCTTAATTTCATAGAAAATACTGAGCATCAAAACACTATCCGAAAACGCTTAATTCAAATTCCACCACTTTGTTTGTGAAGAGAAGCATTATATAGCTGTGGGAGACCTTCTTCAAAGTCTCGAACGCTCCCACGATTTCTTTGATGTTGCAGTTGCTCTTAGGCGGCGGTTGTTCGTTCACTTACCATCAAGTCAGCTCACTCGTTTGCCTCATATTCTGTAAAAAATATACCAGTGTCGGTGCGTCAGCTCTGCACTCACCAACTTGCCTGACGAGTGTGGTAGGTGTAAGCAGCGCTTGCAAGTAATGCTTACCTGCTAACTCATTCTTGATCCCTCAAACTGAAACACGTTGCCATATAATGGAAGTATTAGGTACTTATGAGAATTTTGGTTAATCAGACTCCCAAACTGATAAGGATACCTGCACTCTTGTTCTATGTTCAAAATAAATTACCAATTTATGTCACCATTGCCATACAGCCTCTCACTTACTGCTGAACGTAGGCCTCTCCTTTAGATTGCATAATAGACAGAACACCTGCTTTGCAAGCAAACTAATTCATTTCACTTGTTGATTTAAGTGTCACAAATCAGCTATATATTCATGAAATAAGAAACTTTAATTAAGTTTAATCAATTACATTACCGAGACCGTGCTTGGTAAAACTAAGCTATAACGTTTCCAATTCCCAGTCGAAACATTAAAAGTTTGCTAACTCGCCAACTTACGCGTAAGAACACTTTCTGAAAACACATTATCATTAAAATTTTATAATAAATAGAAAATCAACTAATTTTGTGCCTATTTTTTATGTATTATTTTATACAAGTGAAGTAATAGAGTCATGCCGCAGGTAAATTATGGCTGCAACACGAACGAGTCGGTTGGACAACGAAGGGACCACGCTCACAAAGACACCAGTGCAAAATGCTGCTGTGTTTTGTATGCTGCTGCGGTAAGTGTAGAGAACCACTGACCCTAATTACGAAAAACGAGGCATTCTTAGTTCTCAGACGTGACAACGCATCTGCATTTTGATTCTAAATCATGGTAAAAAAAAAACTCAACCACATGAACTCCTAGACCAAAAAGAGCCCCCACCACTGAGTACATAATTTTATTTAAGCAAATGCAATATTGAAATAAAATTATTATTGTAAAATAATATTTTTTTTATAGGATAGGATGATTAAAGAGCACACAGTTCACCTGCTGGTAGGTGGTTGCTGTAGCACATAGACATCAAAATCTATCCTAGATTAGGAATCAAAGTTCAGATGCATTGTCACCCGTGAGGACTAAGACTATCTAACCACTACCGTTACTACCAATTGAAAAGGAACCAGGCGGGCACAACGTTCGGGCTCTGAAACAGAAGGGAGGAATCGAGGCTTCTCTCGATCCGGCCTCCTATAACGCCTACGTTGGGTTCGGGAACAACGTATGTGATCTCCGCAACGGAGTAACACACAAGGGCGATAACCTCTTCCTTTTCAGCGAGTAGGTTCAGACGGGGATTACGGGTCTTCCGAAGTCGTCCCGGTCCCAACGCCTTAATTCTTCGATGTGGACTGTATAATTTTGAGGGATGAATTTCTTGGGAATAAAACACTAACTAACTAGCTACCAACTAACTAGAATCGCTTAAAACAATTACCGACTACCGCATGTAACATGGACGGAGCGCACCAGGCTCTCCTCTCCAGCTTTCACACCATGACTTTAAATGGATCTGGGTTTCTTGATTTCCTTTGATACTATCAATCTTTTGAACGCGAAACGATAGTGATTTGCATACTAATAACTGTAACACAGTGAGATAAGAAATTTACATACACGCATCCGCCCCCCACTTCTGATAAAGGCATTGCGTTCACTCTAGGAGGGTTTTTCATCGTAATCTCTAACACGTGGGTCAACGGGCAAGGAGATGATCTCTTTCCTAAAAATAAAATAGTGGTTTAATGCTCAATACGATACAATTCATAAAAAGTGTAATCAAAATTACGAAATTACTATAGATGGCCGCGATGTACTTTGATTAAAACTATGACGTCAACCGAATACGTGGTTGCGTGCGCTCCGTTCGACAATTCACGACAAAGTGCCTCCCACTCGGTGAAGTCTTTTACAAGATGGCCGCCTCCCCAGTGTTCGGTGTTACGTCAGAGACAAAACTCTGTTTCGTTCCGAAGTTGATTAATTGGCCATAGACAAGGTTGAACTGACGCGCCGTCATATATGAAATATATTTTGTTTATTTTGACTAATTCAATTAACCATATAGTGGTGCAAAAATATCCACAACCCCATATTATCCCGTAGGTGCTGTCACAGGCGACAGAAAGAAACTGAAACAAGAGATGGAAAGCAACGTCTTCCTGATAAAAACTTAGAATAATGCGGCATTCTGGGGGGTAGCCTACTAAATTCAGCAGGAAAATTCTATAGGTTGTAATGCAAATTGAAACATTCAGATGCCCAGAAAAGTGGTTAAGAATTGAATTAAAAACTCCATTACATATATACATACATACATTCAAACACACATACGTACGTACACACATTTTTGCATAGCGATGAAACCGCAACCAAAAAAACGTTAAAGAATAGAGAAATAATCGAAATATTATAATGAAAATAGAAAGCGGACTTCGTATCATTCGGATATCTACTTTAATAAGAATTAATGAAAAAAAAATCTAATTAATACAAATTGATGTGTAATTAACGATCCCAGTGAGAATACTAGGGCATAATCATAAAATTATTGTTCTGCCATCGGTTCAAAATACGTCGGCAAGTTACAAATTATTTGGACGTTTGGAAGTAGATGTAAACTGAATGACAATATTCCATAAATTCATACCTATGTACATATTATATTCATATAGGTTAGATTAAAGCGTACCGTATCAGTCATTTGACGGATCCGGACAGACGTTAAAACTAAATATCACATAACAGTGTTTTTTCTGTTTGAAAATAACTTTCTATTTAATAAAATATTCAAATTTAATAATTTCAAATTGAAATCGTTAATCTGGTTTTCATTTCTATCTGAAATAGGTGTAGCGAGCACATAACATTTACTCTTAAAAACGCACAACGCGCCTAAAGAAATTTGAACTTTAAAAATAAAATTATAACATAACATAAAATATAGGTTACGGCTTAAGAACTTTATTTTCATTAATAATACAAAATGCACTTATTATGAGAACATAAATATTAATAAGTTATAACAATATCTGACGAAACGCAGAAGTAGGGGGTGGTACAATACAAATACAGTTAAAACAGTCACAGTGTCAGAGAAAGATACAATCACAGACATAAAGTTGAACTACGCTCAAATATACTTAACAAACCATTTGAGGCTGCACAAAGTTTGAACAGCAGAGTACTTAACAGCATCAGCGAGTCAGCGACTACAAACTTCGCGTTAGCTTTGCTCTTTAACGTTGTAAAATCACACTAGTTTATATCGCGAAGAACTTGACTCCACTACTATTTTATTTTACATAGCGTCACGCCTGTAATCCCCGAAAGGGTAGGTAGAGTCTAAAAGGTCAAAGCGCTTGGGTGTAAAATTGTAAAAAAAAGTGATAGATAACTAGCCAATCGCTTCCTCAGTCACAAACCTAACATTCCGTTAGTCTCTTGCGACATAATAATAATAATAATAATAAAGGGGAAGAAACTGTGAGAATAGCGTATAGGGCTCGGATGCATTACTTTTTTGCTGAGCTGGAGCCGTCTATTCCCGTCACGGAACAAAACCTGGCAGACCGAGTTCGGTACATTATGCGCTTAAAAACATTTGATGATACCGAACTCGAACGACTAAGACGTGAGGCTATTCCATCGTCGAATGAATCAGCTATGGCTGGGGATGCAGCTCCACATGCGACAGACCAGCATCCACACGTGGAAGCCGCCATGGATCTTCCAGTTGTGGTTGATTCGAACGACGATGAAATAGTCTCCCACAAACTAGAGCAAATGAGCAGCATATTGGATGAGGCGAATTTGGAAACGCGCAGCAACCCTCTCGAAAATCGACCGCGACTTCCCCGCATACCCCTAAGCAAGCGAAATAGGGCTGTCGTGAGGGCTCTTAACTTAATGCTGGTGACCTATTTGGAAGCCAGCCGGGACCTTTACGAGACGGACTCGATTCTTTTTGGCGCCGCAGTGGCAGTTCGCCGTATTATTGGCGCTAAACTTCCCATGGCTGGACGCGCTACTAGACAAAGTAGCGCCATCCCAGCCCAGAGAAAAAGAATCGAGGACCGTATCGCAACGGCAAGGGCCCTTATCGGCAGACTGACAAGCTTCAGGTCGGGTAATAATAGACCGAGTATGATGCGCACCGTTAAGATGGCGTTTGCTGGGACAAATATCAGTTTGCCCCAGCCGGATATCACGCAGAAACTAACGGTGCGCATAGACGACCTGAATCAAAAGATCGCTGCTTAGGGGAAGCGGATTCGACGATTTACCGAGAGGTCAAGGCGGTTCAACCAGAATCGTCTCTTCCAGAGTGATCAGAAGAGGCTCTATAAATCATTGGAGCGACCAAAAGTATGTGGAGCGGGCCCAGGACCGGATTAGGCTGACATTATCGCATTCTGGCGTGGCCTGTGGTCAGAGCCCATAAACCAAAGCGAGGGCCCTTGGATGGAAGTTGGGAAGAGCCAGGGTGCGAGTGTTACGCCTATGAACCCCATCACCATACCGGCGGAAGACGTGGCTGAGGCGGTCCGTAGGGCCCCGAACTGGAAAAGTCCGGGGCTCGACGGGCTGCATCATTACTAGCTGAAGGGGTTCATAGTATGTCACGCTGTGCTCGCCCGACAGTTTCAAGAGGCTCTCGACCAGAAGTCGCTCCCGAGCCTCTTCACTACTGGGATCACTCACTTGGTTCCTAAAGACCAGGATACCACAAAGCCGAGCATATACCGCCCCATCACGTGTCTATCCACCATATATAAGACACTGACATCAATTTTGAGCGCGATAATCACTCGTCACCTGGAGCTAAATTAGGTGATGTCACGCGCTCAAAAATGTCGGGGCGGTGGTCGTGGAAACAAGGAACCACTCCTCATTGACGCGGTCATTGGCAAAGTGGTGAAACGCAACCGTCGGAACTTCTCCGCCGCCTGGATATACTACAGAAAGGCATTCGACTCGGTACCCCATACATGGCTAAAGAGAGTCCTCGAGCTGTACAAGATAGACTGTACAGTTATAGACTTCTTCGAGCAGTGTATAGGGCAATGGAGTACGATCCTTTGTCATCTGGGCGAGCGGACGATGGCTGCAGAGAACCACATAAGGATAAGAAGGGGTATCTTCCTCTCGCTGAACCCTCTCAGTACCTTACTGGAGTGCTCTGGGAGGGGATTTCAGCTTCGGAAAGGAGGTACAAAAGTGACTCACCTTTTCTATATAGATGACCTCAAGTTATTCGCCTCCAGTCGCTCCCATCTTATGGAATGAATTAAACATCACTTGTGAATTTAGCAATTCCATTGGAATGGAGCTGGGGACGGATAAGTGTGCGGTCCTCCATATTGAAAGGGGAAGGGTTGCTAACTCTGAGAGCATAGACTTATCTATGCCCGTCAACTTAAGGACCCTTTCCGAGGCTAAAACATACCGATACGTGGGTATGTCACAGAACATCGGTATCGATGAGGCTGGTATGAAACAGTCAGTTTGCGACGTGTTTTATGCACGCTTGACCAAAGTGCTTAATAGCCTTTTGTCCAGTGTCAACAAGACATACGCATATAATGGTTGAGTCATGCCTGTCCTCATGTATACCTTAAGCATACTCAGGTGAACTCAGACCGAACTTAACGCCCTGGATAGAAAAGTCCGCACTACCATGACGTCCTATAGGATGCATCATCCGAGATCGTCGGTAATGAGGCTGTATTTGCCGTGAAAGCATGGTGGGCGTGGCTTCTTGAGCGCCCTCACCATGCATAATCGCGAAGTGTGCAGCCTCCGTAATTACTTCCGGGCGAGATCGGATAATCCACTCTATAAGGACGTCATTTCTTATGATAAAGGACTTACCCCTCTATTCTTAGCAAACGAGCAATGGCAAAACCCGGCAGTGCAGAACATTTCCGACCGGGAGACCGTATGGAACGAGAAGGAGCTCCACGGGAACTTCTACAAGGCTCTACATGAGCCTTTCGTAGACACAGTAGCCTCCCTTCACTGGCTACCCTTCAGCGACCTCTTCGGGGAAACCGAGGGTTTTGTCTGTGCAATACATGATCAGGTTATTAAGACCAACAACTATCGGAGATACATCCTAAAGCATGGCACCGTCGACATCTGTCGAGCTTGTCGCCATCCCGGTGAGAGGCATGTCATCTCCGGTTGTTCGGCGCTTTCTAACTTCGAGTACTTGCACAGGCACAACCTAGTAGCCAGAATTCTTCACCAGGAGCTCGCTCTGTAATACGGTCTCGTGGATCGGAAATTGCCATATTACAAGTACTTTCCGGAAGCCGTGCTCGAAAATTATCGCGCCAGGCTCTGATGGGACCGGGCCATCATCACAGACAGGACTATTCTTGCCAATAAGTCTGATATAGTGCTGATGGACCTGGCACAGTCAAGGATAATTTTGGTCGACATTACCATTCCGTATGACGGGAACCTCGTGAAAGCCGAAACAGATAAGCAAACAAAATATCTGGACCTGGCTCACGAGGTGACTGACATGTGAGCTGGTCTGCTGACCGAAATTATTCCTGTAGTCGTCTCTGCAAACGGGCTAATCCCAGTCAGCCTCTCGGGTCATCTGAGGCGGCTGGGACTACGTGACAGACCGCTCCAGGCTCAAATGCAGAAGGCGGTGCTCCTCGATACCGCCCGCATTGTCCGCCGCTTTCTTTCCCTTTCCCCCTAACCCTCGGCCGTTTGATCTCCCCTGCCGAGGGCTCCATCTGGTTGGGCTTTTGTTTATTTATGTATTTTTATATTATTTAATTATATTTATATTTATGTATATTTACCTTTTAATTTACATTTATAATTATATATTTATAGAACCCAACCAGATGAGAAAACTATATTGATACCCCCCATAATAATAATGTCCTCCAGACCGAATTTCGGCCACGGCGGCCTGGGTCAACGTACGCTAGCCATCTGTGCAGGACAGGATTATAGTGTCCAAGTGTATGCGTAAAGCACAGGTGCACTCTCTATTCCCTCAATCTCATAATCCGATGGGACGGTAAACCGACACGACCGGAGAGAGATCAGGCGCAGGACCAACGGCTTTACGTGCTTTCCGAGGCACGGGGGTGAGACACCGCCAACTTCCTGACTCCGGGCAGCTACTGAGAATTTCTTGACAGAAAACTCAATAATTGATATTTTGGCCCGACCCGGGATTCGAACCCAGGACCTCATGATCAGCAGTCGCACTACTACAAACACTAGACCAACGATGCAGTCAGGCGACATACAAGACAAGAAAGACAGTTGGTTCGCCTTTTTTGTTATAATTCTTACATAAAAATTGGATATATGAGTCTCACTGTTTTTTTTTTTCTACAGAATAAGAGTGACGAACGAGCACACTGTCCACCTGATGTTAAATTGATGCTGTGGCCCATAAATACTTACATGTGTCTTCGATTAAGAACCAAAATTCAGATACGTTGGCACCCCTGAGGTCTAAGATGGAATGCCTCGTTTCCAGTAAAAAGGATCTTGGGTTCTCTACATTCACCATACGAAACATAGCTATGTTTCGTATGGTAATGTATCATTTAGGTGCTATTTTACGCTAGTATTCTGAGAGAGCATGGTCGGTCCCCTGTCGAGGCGTCCCATTCCTTCTATAATCTTAATATGGCTGCAGTATGGCTCTACCATATAAATTAAAGAAATGGTTGGCTTCGACTATCGTATTACGCACAGAAAACAAGTTGAAAAAGTTGGCGTCTGTATTTCCGTCCCAACTGCGCAACTTTAAGACAAGAGTAAATAAGCTTTTGTTTCGCTAAGACAGTGCGATCTACAATGTAGGTCATCATCACCACTTACCACCAGGAGGGGTTGTAGTTATTGACAGGCTTATAAAAAAATTTAAAAAATATAAAGGCTTTTATTTAAAAGTAATATATAATCGAATTGAATTTTCGTTTTTTCATTACATCTTTAAGCTGTTTTAGCTGAGTTTTGGAGTACTTCAAAAATACATTCTTTAACCAGTAATGAAGTGATAAATATTATTGAATGAATATTGTGGTCATTGATTTTGGAGAGTAATTGCTTTACATGCACTCTGTATGACGGATGTTAATGGTTTCTGGTCAGAGACTGGCAAATTAATATATTGTCAGTGGTTTCCGTAGCTGAGCCGACTCAGCAACTATGGGTTTTAATTGTAAATAGTATGCTTAACATTTAATACCACCTACATAACTTTACGTTTTTGTTTCTAAAATCAAGTGGTATTTTGTATAAATGTTAACTTTTATATGAAAATAAAAAAGGTAAAAAGTAAAGTTACAGCTCATATACGACCAATAGCTGGACTTTTCGTATTTCTAGGAGGGCTTTAAAGCAAACACGTGGTAATATTTAAAATTTTGTGCAACCGACTTCCATATAAATAAAATAAGAACATCATCAACGTAGTCAAAGTCAATTAAATACGAATTATTAAGGATACTTCAAAAACTACTAGTCAGATGTTGATCAAATTTATATGGGATCACAAAAAAGCTTTCAAATAATATAAAAAGTATCGTCAAATTCAGTTCACATACTTAAAAAACACAATTGGGAACCTCCTCCATTTTTAAGTCGGTCAAAAAGAGTTCGTTGCCTTGATTAACGAGCGAATCACTGGCAGATTTTAAGAAATATCTGTTTTTTTATAGAATAGGGTGACAAACGAGCACACAGTCCACCTGATGGTAAGTGGCTGCTGTGGCTCATAGACATCAACATATGCGTTGTCACTCGTGAGGAGTAAAATGGAATGCCTCATTTCAAGTAAAAAAGGTCTCCGGATCTCTACAGTCACCATAAGAAACACAGCAGCATTAAGCTACTATTTGACGATGGTATTCTGTGAGTGCGTGGTCCTTCCACGGTTGAGCCGACCCATTCGTGTTATGGCAGCAGCATGGCTGTGCTACGTAAAACGTGTTATTTATATGTCTAAAGATATAATTTTAAATGGATACGGTACTTTCAATGTTGCACTCGATCGGTTTTATGAGGAAATGACTCCTTATAAATATAAAAATACTACTATTTGTGTCGAAACTCACTGTTAATAATGTCTTCCAGACTGAATTTCGGTCACGGTGGCCAGTCTGAACAGAAACTAACCATCTGCGCAGGACAGGGTTATGGTGGTTAAGTGTATGCGAAAGCACAGGTAATCCAACAGGACCGGAGAGGGATCAGCGGCCAGGCCTACGGCA